TTGTGTGTGTGTGTGTGTGTGTGTGTATTTGTGTGTGTGTGTGTGTGTGTGTTGTGTCTGTCTGTGGGTGTGTGCGTCTGTGTGGGTGTGTGTGTGTGTGTGTGTGTGTGTGCTCTGGGGGTGTGTGCGTCTGTCTGTCTGTGTGGTGTGTGTGTGTGTGTGTGTAGGAGCTCCGCCCCCAGCAGCAGGTGGAATGATGATGATGCACCTGACGTTACCTGCGTCCCAGCAGCCTCAGTCTCATTCCCCGCTGCAGTGGAAACACAACAAATACTACAGCGCCGATCACTCGCGCTCACAGAAGCCCGGGGACGTCTGCGGTCTGGAGCCGTCACGAGTAAGAACGCTACAGATCACGTTCAGAATTCAGTATTTCATTTTACCATTTTAATGTAAAACAGTTCAGATGTAACACTTTGATCGGAAGATCAAAGTAAATGTATTTTACCTATCAGAGCATTTAGAGTACGTAACATAATTACCGTAATTATGAGCGTTTCACATCCTCAGACTCAGAATCCATGTGCAGATCTGACAACAAAATCACGAATGCGCCTCAGTATGCTCGTTTAATGTTAAAGGAATAGTTCACACAAAATGAACATTAGCTGAAAATGTGCTCATCATTAGACCATCCAAGATCAGGATGAGTTTTTCTTCGTCAGGTTTGTAGAAATGTAGCATTGCATCAGTGTCTCAGCAATGGATGCTCTGCAGTGAATGGGTGCCGTCAGAATGAGAGTCCAAACAGCTGATAAAAACATCACAATAATCCACAGCACTCCAGTCCATCAGTTAACATCTGGAGAAGACAAAAGCTGAAACACATCCGAAGAGTTATTATGGATTATGGACTCTATGGTATTTTAGTTAAAAAGGTCTTAATGCTGGATTTGTTTCAGCTTTTGTCTTCTCCAGATGTTAACTGATGGACTGGAGTGCTGTGGATTATTGTGATGTTTTTATCAGCTCTCATTCTGACGGCACCCATTCACTTGCTGTGTGAGACTGATGCAATGCTACATTTCTCTAAACCTGACGAAGCAGCAAGCTCATCCTGATCTGGGTTGCACTGAAGCTTCATCGAGATGTTGAACGGTTTGTTCACAGAGCAGTCCTCAGCTGGGAAGCTCGTCCTCCTCACCGGCCCAGTCTCCCACACCAACACACCTCCCTAACGTAAAGAGCATCCGTCCCAGCCTCAACACTGTTCCCATCATGCCTCACTTCTCCAGATCCTTGGTTTCAGGACAAGGTGAGTCCTCTGGTTCTGTCTGGTGTTTATTAGAGACGTCTTGAGGGTCATCAGGTGTGTTGTTGTGTCAGGTGACGTGCGCTGCCCTCTGCTGGGACAGACGCTCCAGTACAGCCCTCAGATTCGGCCCCCTTTACTTCAAGCCCCGCCCATGGTGTCCAGTCAGGTGAGCCCACCAATCACGATCCACATGCCAATTCAGAAGCATTTAATCCATTATTAGCCACTTCAGCCAGCATCAAATGTGCCAGAGTTTGAATAAAATATCCAGACTGGCCCTCAGCACTAAATACAGAGATACAGATAAAGTGTGAGGAGAAGCGATTGTAGAGTTAATGTGTGTTCGTGCTCTGTTTAGGCTCCGGTGGGGATCCGGCCCGCGGGTCGAGGCAGCAAGCCGCCGAGGAAAGCGCTGTCTACAGATCTCAGTGTAGGTGAAGCAGGTTACCATACGCCACCGCGGTCCTCCAGATCCACTTCTCCTGCAGAGCTCAGCTCAACCCTGTTATAGGATTATTGAATAACGCTACAGGATAAATCTTGTTTTACAGATTTATTGGTAACACTTTACAATAATATTCCATTAGTTAATGTATTAACTAACATGAATGAACTATATGTGTCCCTGCAGCACAAAAGCAGTGTTAAGTCGCTGGGGGATATTTGTAGCAATAGCCAACAATACATTGTATGGGTCACAATTATACATTTCTCTTTTATGCCAAAAATCATTAGGATATTAACTAAAGATCATGTTCCATGAAGATATTTTGTACATTTCCTACTGTAAATATATCAAAACTTAATGTTTGATTAGTAATATGCATTGCTAAGAACTTCATTTGAACAACTTTAAAGATGATTTTCTCAATATTTAGATTTTGTTGCACCCTCAGATTCCAGATTTTCAAATATTGTCTGATCCTAACAAACCATACATCAATGGAAAGATTATTTATTCAGCTTTCAGATGATGCATACAGCTCAATTTCACAAACTTGACACTTATTCAGGTTTTGTGCTCCAGGGTCACATATATTTATTACAGTATTTATTCATCTTTGTTAATGTTAGTTAATGAAAACACAGTCGTTCACTGTTAGTTCATGTTAATTCACAGTGCATTAACTAATGTTAACAAGCACAACTTTTGATTTTAATAATGCATTAGTAAATGTTGAAATTAACTAAGATTAATAAATGCTGTAGAAGTATAGTTCATGCTCATGCCTTGTGTTACCGATTTATTTATTTTTACTTAATTTCCCAATTGAGTATTTTTTTTTATTAGCTTTAAATTTAGATTGTGACATTGTATCACTATATTGTATGATAGTGTGGTCAGTACGGCCGTTATTAAGCTGATTTTATTGTTGCACAAAACTGATTTAAAGGGATGGTTATGGATCAGTGGTGGCGTATGATCCGTGAGTGCTGTTTGTCCAGGGCTAGTTCTGAGTGTGGCGTGTCTCCTGCAGTGACCCACGGCGAGCGGCCCGGCTCAGTGACGGCAGACTGACGCCGCTGTGTTTGAGAAAGTTCCGCTCGCTCACTGGACCGACGACTGGAACATCCCAAAATACAGCCGGAACGGTGTTCTTCTTGATGTTTTGTGTTTGAATAATCTGGTGTTCAAACACTATTTCCATTTGGTTTCACGTGTGTGTTCAGTCTTTCTTCACCAGCCGTCGGCGCTCCGCGTGTGCCTTCAGTCGGACGAACAAAGACAAACGCACTTCGCCGTCTCATGACAAACACAACCTGCTTTTTTGTAAATAGTTTATAAAGTAGCTGTATAATTCAGTTGATTCGGTTGTGCGGTAAGAGCGACAGCATTTGTGTTAATTTCTCTGTTTTTAATTGAAGACGTCACACTGCACCTCAGCAGATCCACGGTCTCGTTTTTAATAAGTTGAACGGTTGTGTTTGACGTTTTCACACACGTCATGTCAATTCTTGTTTTGTTGGGGTCTTTTAATATTATATTCATACTGGGGGAAATAAAAAAGAGAAAAACGATAAAAAGAACAACGGTTTGCACATTTATACAAACTCTCTCTCTCCCACTGTATACTGTATATAAATCTATTTTTTCTCTTAGAAGTATGTGTGGAAGTCTGAAAGGCTGTTCAATGTTTACTGGTGCAAGTCCATTTTTAGTTCAGTTTGTGAAGCAATAAATGTTTGCACCAAATGATCTACTTTATCAAACGCTGGCGTGCTTGGCCATGAATCAGTTTGTCGGTTTCATACATGTATAAAAGCCTCTCATCCGTCACGCTTTATGCTTCAGCCGATGGTTCGAGGCGTCTGCATCACAGTGCGTCGTGGGCTTCCTCCGATCTCAGCCGGTGGTCATGTCGTTCATCTCCATTCTGCTTTTATTGGCTCATTTGTCTGCTGCATTAACCTGCCGTTCACCTCGTCCGTCCAAACGCCCCACAGTTCATCTAGATTCTTCTCTGTATTTTCCTCCTCCAATAACGCCAAAGTAATTTGGCAGAAGACCGATCCTCCAGCTGCTGGTGCTCTTATTGAGCCGCGGGGAGCTGCTGGGGTCTGTGATGGACGGCTTTATCTTCATATGGAGGTCCGGTATCGTGTGGATTGGCTCTGTGCCGGCGAGATTATTAACGTGTAATTAAATCAACATCTGGAGAGCTCAGCCGAGGACGAGGTCTGCTCATAAAGGCTCGCTCTCTCGCCGTCGAGCTTCTGTGTATTCAGCTGTAATTGATGTTTTCATCAGTTTCTTCACGGTGGGCTGTCCAGTGATATACGGTATAGCACTGTTGGTGTGTGCAGGAACGCAGTATTTTAATCTAAAGCATGGGTGTTGCTGCAGAAGGCTGTGTCTTCGTGTTAAACAGGCTTCACTGCGACAGACACAAGCGTCTTCACTCCGAGATCGAGCTCATCATATTAAAACAACACAAACCAGTGCTATAAAATACGAGCCTTTTCACAGACTAATGGTTTCCATCACATTTACATTGTAAATATAGCAAAGCGTTTAATATTTTCATTATTAAAATACGTTTTGTTCATTTAAGTGTCGTTTCAGTATATACTATTATAGTGTCTTATAAGATTTTAATTAAATTGTATAATTTGTTAAAATTTGTTTTTTTTGGTCATGTTTATTAGTTTTTGTCTATAGTTTTTAATTTTTTATTTCATTAGTTTTTTTTAGTGCTCCCACTTAAATGAGAATTAGAAACGTTGCCGTGGCAACTAGCTGACAAAATTATTATTTTTAGGTTTTATTTCAGTAAACGTGCACTTTATTTTTAAAGCAATTACATTTGTAATGGTTTTAGTTCCTGATAACCGTGGAAGATCTAATATACTTAGTCTTGCATTACTTTGGCATTGAATTAGACAGAATTAGTTAAGAAACACTGCAAGGCTGTTACTGCAACGATGGAGGGACCGAAGGGACATTCGCCAGCTTTCTCTATTGTAATCAACGCAACTCCTTTCTCAATACTTTTGCTCTTCGGTAATGCCATTGTGGGGTTTTTTCTTTTGCTCTCAGAGCAAATGAGAAGCCAGAAATCATATGCAGTCTTCTCCCGTTTATGCAACTGTACTTATTTAAGAAAAGAGGAGTCTGAATATGAATTATGAATTACTGCGGATGTAATGTCCAGAGGTCAGTTATTCAGGGGAGGCTCAAATACCTCTGATAACATGTTCTAAATAAGTAACCAAATAAATGAATAATAGTTCATTGTTACAGTGCTTTAGAATTGAACTACTCAAAAGAGAATATAGGGAAATATAACTTCATTGATTTGTGTCCTGCTACATTTCACATAAACATAAATCTGGCTCTAAATCTCTCTTTTCTTTATTCAGAGTTGATTTAGATTTGCATATGGAAACTATATAAAGTTCAGAGTTTCGAAAAGCTCGGTTTCACCATCACTAGTGCTCTTTAAAATCATTACAAGCGATGTTGAAATTCGAAAATGAGTCACTCTTGTGATCTGGTTGTTGCTAGTGAATCACTTTGAATCGTTCGGAGCGGTTCAGCGTAAATGACTCACTCAAGTGAATCGGTTTGTCTGTTTCTCTCTCCGCGTTGTTTACACGACACTGGCAGCACTACTACTGACTCAGCTCGCTAGTTTTGTGACATTAACTCAAATACGATTTTAAAAAGTATGATGTTTACAAATAAAATATCCATATTTCCATTCCAAAGATAGCATCCGACACGGGTAACCGGTTTACTGCTAACTAGTGAAACACTCCTGCAGCTCTAAACACATGTTAGATGGAAACATTGTGCAGTATGTAGTGATTCACATTAGCGGGGTAATGGCATAGTGATAGTGAACAACATCAGGACACGAGTGAGTGTGACAACAGCGAACAAGCTCCTCCACACGGCATCATGTTTGGTTTAGTTTGGTTGTTTATATAGCACAATACAGCAACAGTCATTGACCATTGTGCTGTACAAGAAATTATAAAATCAGATTAATAAAACACCAATCAAAACAACATAAAAGTCATATGGTACAGGAGGTAGTACATACAGAGCATGCTCAGGACGACTCAGATGTTAAAAGCCTTTTTGAGAGTTTTAAGTTTGACTTTAAACAGAGATTCTGAAGAGATTGTCCTAATAGATAAAGGTACGCTAAGCTGCCTAACACTTGATTTAGACAGAAAAAGCTAATGGACCAAACACAATTGCCTCAGTCTTACTCTCGTTTAAGTTAAAAAAATTATTGGACATCCAAGCCTTAATATCTGACAAACAGGGAGTTAGGGCAGACAAACCAGCATTATCATTTTGTTTGATGGGCACATATATTTGAGTGTCGTCTGCATAAAAGTGAAAAAATACTCTGTGTTTTCAAAAAATTGAGCCCAAAGGGAGCATATATAAAGAAAACAAAATGGGAGCAAGGATAGATCCCTGGGGAACCCCACAAGTCAGATGCGCTTTGGAGGATAAACATCCATTTATATAAACAGAAAAGGTTCTATTGTTCAAATAAGACTTGGGCCAGTTCAGTGCATGACCTCTAATACCTGCACAATATTCAAGACAAGAGATAAGAAGGTCATGATCGACCGTATCAAACGCCGCAACTCAAATCCAACAGCAGAAGTATTACAGAGTTCCCAGAATCCACAGATAATAAAATATCATTTGACACTCTTAAGAGAGCAGGTTCTGTACTGTGATGTTTCCTAAAACCAGACTGCAAAGATTCAAAATCTACATTTGCGTCTAAAAAAATGTAATAATTGGACAGAAACTACAGTCTCAAGGATTTTAGAGATAAAAGGAAGATTAGAAATTGGCCTAAAATTTGAGAGAACTGTCACATCGAGATTAGATTTTTTCAACAATGGTTTAACAATAGCATGCTTTAGATATTCTGGAACAAATCCAACAGAAAGACTCTTATCTATTATTTCTAAGAGACAAGGCCCAATAACATCAAAAACCTGCATAAGCAGGCGTGCTGGAAAAATGTCAGTTTCAGATGTGGTTGGTTTTAACTTCATAACCAGTTTATGAAGATAGTCTATCGAGATTAAAAGATGAGGTACAAGCCGACAAAGAGGAAGGATCATAATTTATGGGGACAATAAGCTGTCTAATGTCATGTATCTTGTTTGTAAAATACCTTAAAAAGCATTCACAAGAAGCAACTGGGTCATCAAAGTGCAGATCATTTGACGGATTTATCACCAAGTTAATAAAATCTTGGGTCTTTGATAATTTCTAGCTATGATTTACTGTTGTGAGTTACTGAGTTCACTGGTACGTCGAGTTTGAACGCAAGTTCAAAATGTTTGCAAATGCGATGTTAGCACGCCAGACATTACAGAGAGACAAACCAGACACAGGTGAAGAAAAGCGGTTCAGTCACATGTCATAAAGAAAGAGTTTTTAGGCACCATTATTGTGTTTTTCTATTTCTTTATAATAATTCAATGTTATAATAAGTTCAAGGCTTTATTTAAATCTGAATATATTATTATATAACATACTGTAAGTCATTCTTGAGACGTGGGACTAAACCGGTCCAGCAAGGGTAACTGCTATTAGCTTTAAAAATACTAATATGTTCAATGTTAAATGTCATGAGGGATTAATAATAGAACGTATTTAACACAATTACACTGCTTCCGTCGGGCTCGGTGACAGCACAGGTGACGCTGTTGACGTGTTGCCATGGTGACGCGCGGCTCGTGTTCACGCGCGTCCTGACCGTCTCGCAGAAGATCTTCCTCCTCCTCCTCCTCCTCCTCCTCCTCCTCCTCCTCGTGATGGATCAGTATGAGGTGGTCCGGCAGGTCGGTCAGGGCGCGTTCGGGCGCGCGCTGCTGGTCAAACAGCGACAGGGACACGCGCAGCTCTACGTCATCAAGGAGATCAATCGGAGGCAGGTGAGGCTAATTAAACACCGGATCCAGTCTCCAATCAAAACTGAACAATAGACTGACTCTGAATTCACATGTTGACGCGTCCCAGCCAACATTCTATCATGGGGCCCGTGTGGGCCCTACATGGGTTTGTCCATCTGAATCTGAATCTCATGTGGGGCCCGACTGAGCAACACATATAAGACCCATATTGGCCCCACGCTATGAAGCACATGTGGGATACACTAGGGCCCGGTATGGGGACCGGACTGGCCCCACGTAGTGTATATGCATGTTTTAATTAGGTTTTTTTGAGGCATCTCACCTGGACAGTATAATTATTTACAATATATATATATAGATAAAAGCAACATCAGTATTTGAGTTCAGTAAATGTCAGTTTTCTGCATGAACATTGCACTGTTTACAAAACATGTACCTGTGCAATTTGAAAAATCATACATTAAAATGTACAGGTTCAATAATACTTTATTATCATTTTCTGACACATCTTTTTATACTTTTCAAGTTTTTGTAAAATGTTGAACGTCAACATCAACATTCTGATAAACCAACCGGGTCATAACCTCTTAACAACTAATCTTGCATCACAGAAACATGGACAGTTTAACGGCTTGCTTCACCCAGAGATGAAAATTCTGTCAACATTTGCACAATCTCATGTCACTCCAAAATTAATACATTTTCAGAACACAAATTAAGATTTCTTTTGCTTTATTGAAAGTTTACTTCCCCAAAACTAGTACAGAGTATAATTTTAACTAGAATATTCATTAACATCACATACTTCCTATATGGTTGAAGTTTTTACTGGTTTGTGTGTTTTATATTTATATATTAAGACTTTACAGATGTGTCATGATTAAGGGAAACTAGTAAATAATATTCTAGCTTCAAAAAAAGTTAACCTCAATCAACACCATCTAACAACATCACACAATTTAACAATGTCACATTAATTAATACCACAAATGATTTCTGTTATGTTAGGTTTTATGCACTTTAGGTAAAACCTCCCGTTATAATCACTGAAGCTGCATTGTTGTTTATGAGGAGTGCGCGAAATTCAAAACTCCGGCGCGAGGACTAAACTAAACGCTGATTGGCCACTACATTCACAAGCTCCACATGAAGGCGTGTGATTGGTTTTAAGGCTTAGCAACATAAGCAGATTTATGTCATGCCGCAATCGACATTTATCATTCATTTTTAACTGTAATCACGACAGCTGTAATACATGTGGTGGTACACAGCCTGAAAGCCAGTATTTCAGAACTTAACTTATGTCAGAAAGCAAATTCAGAATTATGTCATTCAAAATTAGTGCTATATCGGCTGGTGAGGAAATTAATTTTTCCCATTTTGTTTTTTAGAAATAGCCTTTGTGCACAGCCAGCCTTGTACTCTTCTAGGTTCAAAAAACTGTCGTTCGAACATCTGGGTTGTGCTGTTCTGTTGTAAATAATCTTAACCAATGATTCCTAAATGCATCTACTTCCGGAAGACCAGATAAAGTGCTTTTGCTTTCGCACTGAAACACAGCGTCTCCCTGACATGCTGCTTCAACACTAACTGCGGTTACTGAAATCACGCCTTCTTTCTTTGCGTGCACATTTGGGTGG